GGAAAAACTAAAAAGGGATAAAAGGAATATAAGTATAGAGAAAGAAAGAGAGTGAAAGAAATAAAAGGACAGGCAATAATATGGAAATAAGGAGGGGGGGGGGGGGGGGGTAAAAAAACCGCTTCGCTCGCGCGGGAGACGGCGCGTTTAGCCGCGAACGGGGCCATGCCAGACGTGTCGCCTGCGGCTGGGACGCCAGCCGAAACGGGTGCGGCGCCGCCTATTCACAGAAGGGCTCTTGGCTCAACGGGTATTTTTTCGCTTCGCTGCGCGGCCCCGCAATAGGTAGGTAGGTGGGGCACGGAGCCTGGCGGTTGGCGCCCGCATTAAGTAGGTAGGTAGGGCGTTTTGGCGCGACTCAGTGGGAACAGACCCCCTATCTGGCTAGGTCTAGGCCGCCCACATACCGCGTTGCCGTTGATTGGTGTCCAGTCCGACTCGCGATTGGGATGGCGATGGCGTTCTTTTGCATCCACTCGCATCAAAACGCCTCTGTCTCCCCAGCTCAGTCCCCAGCCTAATCCGCGTGAACTCTCCCACCTCGAGTTGCGACGGCAACTCTGTTCACAGACCTTGCTAAAAATCTCTCTCTCTCAGACCTTGTTAAGAAAGAAAGAAATAAAATAAGCCAAACGAGTGCTCCAAACGAGGGATGGGAGGAGGAAGGTCCCCACCTGGGAGCTGGGTTCCGGCTCCTAGGACATGCGAATACGCAAGGAGATGGCATCAGAGACGCACAAATACACATCCAGCCTCGGCAGCGGCGGGTCGAAAAAAGAAAACATCGGTGCGCGGCGTCGCCGTCGGACGTACGTGCCCACTGTGCCTCGCTGTGTTCGTGCGTCGCCCATCTCTCCTGGAGATCACTGCTCTATTTGTTTATGGAGCGCGCTGACGTCATCGTGGCGTCGGCCAACCCGGAGCGCGCATGGAAGGAGCTCTCCGTGAGCAGCCCCGAGGTCGTGGCACGCATCTCGCAGGCGAAGCGCGAGTTCGCCACCTACCAGCGGCGCGACGGCGTCTTTCTCGCGGCCGCGAGGGGCCATCCTGCGGCTGATGGCGTGAGCTAGTGGGCGTGACGGGAGTCGAGTCCAAATACACAAAATACAGATTTAGCATCTGGGGTGGACGGAAACCTCGGAACCTCGAGAGAGGCGCGAGCGACGCCGCAAACGGGCTGAAGGCTGCCTTCGCCCAGCTTCAATCAACCGTTAACATCCCTCCCCGAACGCAACCGACAGAGACGGAGAGAGGGGCGCCGCGCGCGCGCCCCTACTCCTACTCCTGCCTCGCCGCAATGGGCTGCGCGACGCTCGCGTTCCAACTCCTCCTCGCCCACATCGCGGGGCTGGGTGGCTCCGCTAGCGGTGGCGGGGCCGAGGCGAAGCGGCCGCCGTCGCGCATCCCGCCGCCGTCGCGCCTGCCCGTGCGGCTCCGGCTGGTGCAGAGCGAAGCCGTGTCGCGCACGAGAGACACCTCCACCTGCGTCTCTCTCGACTGGTGGCCGGCGGAGAAGTGCGACTACGGCTCGTGCCCGTGGACAAACTCGTCGCTCCTCACCGCCGACCTCTCGGACCCGCTGCTCGGCTCGGCGATCGCTGCGCTGGCGCCGCTCCACCTCCGCGTCGGCGGCTCGCTCGCCGACCAGGTCTCCTTTGCTCTCTCGCGGGAGGACGGCTGCCCCCCGTTTGCCGTGGACGTGACCCGCCGGATCGGCTTCACCGGAGGGTGCCTGCGGCTGAGCCGCTGGCTGGAGGTCCTCTCGTTCTGCGAGCGGCTCGGCTGCGGCGTGCTCTTCTCCGTCAACGCTCTGCGCGGCCGCACTCGCGACGAGTGCCAGCCGGCAGCTCTACCCGCAGTCTGCTCACGCGCGAGCCGTCGCCTTCCATGAGCCTCTGCCTGGCCCGCCGTGCAGGTGGACACGCCCTGCCGGCTCCTCAAGAAGGACGCGCGCCCGCCCTGCTGCTCCTCCTACTCCGGCGCGTGGGACAGCTCGAACCTGCTCGCACTGCTGCGCGCCACCGCCGCCGCCGGCAAGCGTCCCTCCGGCCTCGCGCTGGGCGAGACATAGCCGAGATCTCCCGAGATGAGCCGAGATTGGCCGCCGGCCTCGCGTTGGGCGGGCCTCTCGCCCCTCACGCCGCCACCGCTCGATGGCGCACGCCGCGCCGCCGCGCCGCCCAGCAGCTCGCTTTTCCGTTTTAGGCAACGAGCTCGCCGGCGACGCCGGCATCGAGGCGCACCTGTCCGCAGCCGAGTACGCTCGCGACCTGCTCTCGCTGAGGCGGGAGGTGGACGCCCTCTGGCCGACGAAGCCGCCTCTGCTGCTAGCGCCCGACACCGCCTTCGACGCCGAGTGGGCCAAGCTCTTCCTGAGCCAGCTTCGGGCCGCCAGCAAGGAAGGCGGCGGCGGCGGCGGCGGCGGCGGCGGCGACGGCGACGGCGGGCGGCTGCCGCTCGACATCCTCAGCCACCACATCTACCCTCTCGGCGCGGGGGACGGGCGGCAGATGGCAGCCTCGCCTCGGCGGAGAGCGGGAGGCGCGAGCCGCGACTGCTCACCGCCCCGCGCCGCCGCGGCAGGTGGCTCGCTCGCTCGACCCGAAGAAGCTCGACTCGGCGGTCGGGAAGCTCAAGGCAGAGATATAGCCGAGGTATAGCCGAGATAGCGGAGAGACTCGGCGGCCGAGAAGCTCAAGGCGGCGGCCAGGGCGACGGGCGCCCTCCTGCGCTAGCCTTCTCGGAGCCTTCTCGGAACCCTCCTGCAGGCGGCGGCGAGGGTGATTAACGCCTCCTCCTCCGGCCTCGTCGCCCCCGCCGTCTCGGAGAGCGGAGGCGCGTACAACTCTGGCCAGCGCGGTGTCACGGACGGTTTCGTCTCCTCCTTTTGGTTCAACGACTTGCTCGGCGCGCTGGCGAGGCACGGGCACGCCTTCGGCTGCCGGCAGGCGATCCTAGGCGGCCACTACGCGCTGCTCGACCTGCGGCGGCGGCAGCCGGCGCCCGACTTTTACTCGCTGCTGCTCTGGCGGCGGCTCATGTCTCCGAAGTCCCTCCGCGTCGTCAAGCTCAAGCGGGTGCTGCGCGCCGCCAGCGGGCTCGCCGCCGCGCCGCTGCTCAACATCTCCTCCGCCGAGCCGGACGGCGCGGAGGAGGAGGAGTCGGGTGGGAATCACCGCGCGGGAATCACCGCGCCGCTGCTGCGCGCCTACGCGCATTGCGCCCGCTCGAGCCCGGGCCATGCGGCGCATGCGGCGAGCGGAGACGACTCGCCGACGCTCAACGCGTGGGGCGGGGTGGCTGTGCTGCTGCTGAACCTGGCCCCGTCCATCACGCACGGGGTCGGCCTCGCCGGCCTCGCGCGGACCGACGCGCCGCCGCCCCGGCTCGACTTCCTCCTCACGCCGACGCGCGCCGGCCTGCGCGCGCCGCGCGTCGCTCTCAACGGGGTCGAGCTGCGCGCGGCGGCCGACGGCACGCTGCCGCCGCTGCCGCCGAGGCGCGCGGGGGCGGGCTCGAGGCGCGAGCGTGACGCGCTTTGCCGTGAGGCGTGGCTCCTTGCCATAGGCGGTCGAGCGGCAGCACCGTCGAGCTGCCTCCTCTCTCGCTCGGCTTCTTTGTCTTTCCGGACGCCGGCGCGCGCGCTTGCCTCACGCCGGCGTGCGCGGCTCCGGCGAGGCGCGACCGGAGGACACGTCCTCGTCACGTCCCGCACACGCGCCGTAGGCGCAGCAGCTGCGGGAGGCGCGCGCCGCGGCGCGGTCGGGCGGGGAGGGCGCGGTGGACGCCGATCGCAAGGCGACGCGGCGGCGAAGAGGGCGGCGGCGGACGATCGAGGCTGATGCGGCGACGGCGGCGTTTGGGCCAGCGCGAGGGGCGCTGCCGGGCGATGTTGTCGGGAAAACGGCCGAGACTCCTCTCACTTGACTTTGCCTCTCAGTGCTCAGAGTGTTGTCGCGCACTTTGAGGCAGCGCGGTTGAACTTACTAGATCTCGATATTGGCGTTTCTCTCTCCACTTATAAGTGCCCACACAGCCACACAGAGGACCTCTCCTGCGTGGGCACTAAAAGTGGAGCGCCCCCAAAAAAAATCTAGACCAGCGTAACCAGTCGATGGACGATGGGTAAAAAGGAACAGGGCGGGGACCTGTTCCTTTTTACCCATCTCACAGTAGAGAGGTGTCCGTTTTTATTTATTTATTTAGTCGAGGGAGATCCACATCCAGGGGCAGGGCGAAGGGGCTCGCTGGGAGGCACAATCGCACAATCCGAAGTGCTCTCAGACTTGCTCTCAGTGGGCGACGTGTGGGAGACACGTGCGCGCGGCCGGGTGTGGCGGGTGCGCTCTCAACCTAAGGTCGCGGGGAAAATATAGGCTAGTGCCATTTGGCATTTCACTCTGACACGCTAATCTTGAAAACGTCTCCAACGGAGCTCCGTGTTGCATCCAGCGCCCTCCCCCGCGCTCCCTGCGGCCATGGCCGATGATCCTAGTATGAGAGGTCATCTGGCTACCGCGAGAGCGACCCAACTCGTCGACATCGTCCGATGATGGTGCCTCAAAGTCAGCCTTCGGAGGCTATCGTGGGGTCGAGCCGGCAGTAGCCGTGACATGTGGTTCCACCACCCCTCGTAGGCTTTGCCTCTGATCGCCACCGTTCCCAGGCTGCCTAATGGGATGGAAAGGAAGGCTCGGCGAGCGTATAGAAGCGTGCTCGACCTCGACGTGGCAGCCTGCACGGCAGCGCTGGCGGGCGCGATGAGCGTCGTGCCACCTGACCCGAGACGGGTCGCAGGCGTCGTACTGAGCGCGTCGAGACCGTGTCCTGATGTGATCTGCACGGGTAAATCACGTCGGCGTCAAAGGAGCGACGTGCGACCTGTCAGAGCTTGATCTCCGATCTCAGCGGCGTCGAGTCGTCTCCGGCGCGCGACAAAGGTACATCCAATGGACGCGCAGAGGCAGCTGCGACCCCGCTAAATGTACCTTTTTCGCGCATGGTCAAAATCAAGGTTTTGTAACGCGAGCTGTGCCACAGTGAAATGGCACTAGCCATAGGGGAGAAAGAAGTGTCAGTGTGAGTGCTGAGTGTGAGGTGGGCGCCTGGGCGTAGGCTGGCGTTTTTGCCTTTGTAAACTGAACAGTTGTTTCACACATCCTCACCGGGCGGCTGCAGCGCGAGGTAGCACGCCCAGCTCACCGGCACGCTGCAAAAGAGCGTGCCGCAAGCCAGCAGCAGCCCTGTCTTGAGCGGCCCGCCCCTCGGCGCCCCTCCGCCCGAGCGCGTGATGCCGGTCACGGCGCTGGCTGCGGCGACGGGGCCGAAGCCCGCGAGGACGGCCAAATGCGCTGCGAGTCGCGGCGCGGCAGCGTGCGCGCCCGCTGCGACGTCGCTCGCCGCCACCGCCCACGCCAGCACGCACCCGGCGCTCAGCGCGAGGTACGCCGCGAACTCGAGGCTGGGAGGGCGAGTCAGCGTCGCCTGAGGCGGAGGGGAGGTGCGGGTCTCCCGCGCGCACCGGTCGAAGGCACCGGCTGCCCCTTCCCCCCCCGCCCCCGCGTGCTGAGCCAAGCCGCATCCGCATCGGACTGCGGGTCTCGCGGTACGCGGCGGGCGGCGGCCCCGCGCGTGTGCGTGCGCGCGTCGCCTTCGCGTCTGGCCGCGGCTTGCAGCCCTTTTGGTCCGTCGGCTTGAGCGTGTCCACGAAAGAGCCGAACCAGACGTCGAGGAAGCCTACGGGCGGCCGGCACTCGACGCCTCGGCGGCGAGATCGCGCCGCATGCCGGGCCGGCACCGCTCTTCGAGGCCGGCGTTGGTGCCTACAGGAAGGTTCCGAGAAGGTTCCGAGAAGGTGGTCGCCCCTCCTCGCGGGTCCTCGAGGCCGGCGTCGGTGCCGGCGTAGTTGCAGGAGACGTAGCGGTGGTGGAAGTAGTGGTACGCGTCTGCCTGCCAGTGGTCCTCGAAGCCGGAGTGGGACGCGCCCGGCGAGAGCAGGAGGTGCACCCCTACGGGTCGGGGCAGGGGCTAGGGGCCGGAGTGAGGCTGCTGTGAGGTTGCCTCCTACTACTAGAGTGAGGCTACTGGCGCCGATGCCGTACCCGGTGGCGCACCGCTGCTACCGAGCTCTGCTGGCGCTGCTACCAGGCGCGAGGCTGCGCTAGGCGCACGCCGTTCCAGAGCAGCGCGAACGGGGTAGTGAGGAGGAGGAGGGAGGGGAGGGCGCACGCAAAGTAGTAGAGGTGCTCCACCTGTGCGGTGCGAACAATAATAATAATAATAATAATAATAATAACAATAATAATAATAATAATAATAATAATAAAGGAGTTGTGTTCAGAGCATCGCGTGAACACAAATGCCACCAGCACGCGTCTTTCCCGAAGTGCTAGTCGGGTCCCAACTCGGCATCTCTTTCTTTCTGCTGCCGGGTGCATGCACAGGCCGGAGAAGGGCTCCACGTCCGTGTTGCGGTGGTGCAGGCTGTGCACCTGACGAGGTGAAGAGACAGTGAGGGGTAGGCGCAGAGTGAAGACAAGCTGCGGCGGTGCAGGCTATCGCACCTGCGCGTACAGGGCGTTGAAGTGCAGCATCCGGTGCGCAAAGAAGAAGTGCACGTCCCGCCAGAGGGGGACGAGGAGGAGCGCGGCGCAAAAGTGCAGCGCGCCGCGCCGCGACGACCAGGCGGTCTCGTCCACGTACGCCAGCCTCCCCGTCGCCCAGAGGTAGGCAAAGACATTCTCAAAGCCCGTCCAGATGACGACGCCAGAGACCGACCAGACGAGGTTGTGCGCAACCCTGCCCGGACGGTACTCGCGCGCCGCGACAAAGGGCCGCTCGGCGAAGCCAAACCAGTGCAGCGTCGCGTGCCACCAGAGCGTGTAACCTAGCCACACGCCCAGCCACAGCGGGAGGCGCGCGGCGAAGAAAGCGGCGCTCAGAGGCGCCGACGCGGCCGGCCCGGTGCGAGACAGGTCGTAGGGCACGCACTCAAACATGCAGACCGCGATGAGCGCCCAGATCGTGTTGGGCGTGTTGATGAGGACGAGCGGCCCAGCGCGGAGCCAAGCCGCAAACGTCGGCCGCGGTATGACAGAGGCGCCAGGCGGGAGGGCGGAGTCGACAAAGGATGGCGATACCCTGTAGAAGCGCCCGTCCGTTGCCCCGGCGAAGCCGCGGATCAGGGTGGAGAGCATAGTGGGTGGGCGACGTAAGCCGTCGCTGGCTACAGGGCAACCTCGGATGAGTCACTAACTCGTGTGAAGGCCAGCGCACAGCGCCATAGGAGGTATTTTCTTCTCAATAACAAGGCTGTGAAGAGCACCGATGATGTAGTGAGTGAGTGGTCCCGGGCCCTGCGGGGAACTAAGTCGACGCAAGTTAGTCTGTGAGCTGGAAGAGGGCTAGTGGTGCGCCGAGGCGGGTCAAGTGCTCCCGGGAGTCGTGGTCGGAGGCCGGGACATACGCACACTAACTTAGTGCGCGGAAGTGAGTGCCTCCGGCCGGCCGCGAGGGGAGTGGTCCGGCGGGCCGCTCGTAGTGCCCTTCGCCGGCGGACGGAGGCGAGATCGGCTACTACGCGCACTAAAACTTAGTGCGCGGAAGTGAGTGCCTCCGGCCGGCGAAAGAGTAGAGACATGCACAGGCTCACTTCTCCATCGCCAGCCCGACGCGCTCGTAGACGTAGTTACAGGTTGACCCAAATAATCTCTCTCACACAGTACCGCTGTCACTGTCCCAGGCCCGCTCATGGGAGCCGACGCTTGCAAGTGAGTGTCAGAGTGTAGGAACTCGGTGGGAGCATCCGTCCTCAATCACTTCACACTCGCTCGCAAACGTGAAATCGATTCGCTGTGTCCGGACAGTGGGTGAGTGCCTCCCGCCACCCCGCGCACTAAGATAGTGCCCTGGTGTGGTGGGCCGCCGGCGAGCGGGCTAGTCTGGGTGAGTGCCTCCCGCCACCCCGCGCACTAAGTTAGTGCGCGTAGTGAGTGGGCCGCCGGCGAGCGGGCTAGTGGGTGAGTGCCTCCCGCCACCCCCGCGCACTAAGTTAGTGCGCGTAGTGAGTGGGCCGCCGGCGAGCGGGCTAGTGGGTGCCTCCCGCCACCCCGCGCACTAACTTAGTGCGCGTAGTGGGTGGGCCGCCTTCTAGTGGTCGGCGAGGCCGTGGCCAGTGCCCCGGCCCTGCGGCGCCGCCTAGTGAGTGAGTGCTCGCCGACCCTCCCCACACTAAGTCGTCATCTGTGCTGTGTCCAAGATCTGGTGACGCCTCCTGGATGAGTGGACGTTAGTCCGCGCAATGCAAAAGAAAGAAAGAAAGAAAACAGACAACGCAAAGGAGGGATGGGAGGACGGCTCGCCGCCACCACACAGGGATTTTAAGCTGTGAGGGAGGGTGTAGAGGATGTAGAGTGTAGAGCGCTGTAGAGCTGTAGAGCTGTAGAGCGCTCTGGAGCGCTGTAGAGCTGTAGAGCTCTACATCCGCCGCGGGACAGAGCGATGCAGATGTAGAGCGATGTAGAGGCCCTCTACAGCGTGAAATCTCTACAACAAACTCTACATCATAAGCGGCGAAAGAGGCACGGTCGCTCTCCGACATGAGGCGCGTTGCACTTCCTGCCAGTGCTGCCCTGGCCTTCTGTCTGCCCGCCCAATGGGTGGGAGGTGCCTCTGCTGCTGTGGCATGCCTCACGGCTGCGACTGGCCGGCGCCTCGGCGCGTCAGCTCGGCTCGGCGTAGCGATCGTGGCCAGCGCAACTCGCCTGGACTCAACGCTCAGCCAGGAGCTCCCGCACGCGCTGGCGCGAGTCATGGCGCATGCAACGCGTCTGAATGCTCGCCTCGCCTCGCGCAAATGCGACCGCTTCGCAGCCGACAGTCCACCGCCTGCTAAAGAAGCACTGTGACGAATGTGGCACCGGCGACGCATGGCAGGCTGGTCATGACGCAGTTATAGGGTGTTGTGTGCCGTCAGAGTGACTCTCTGTGTGTCAGAGATAGTCAGGGCCGTCCACCAGAGCTCCAGTAAGCTCGGAGACACCCCATTAGTGCGGCTCGACCTCTTTGAGTCACTGCCTCCCCGGCGGTTTTGCTGTAGAGCCTCTACAACAAACTCTACAGCAAAATCGCGCTCTACATCGCTCTACATCTGCATCGCTCTGTCCCGCGCCGGATGTAGAGCTCTACAGCTCTACAGCGCTCTACAGCGCTCCAGAGCGCTCTACATCTCTACAGCTCTACAGCGCTCTACACTCTACATCCTCTACACCCTCCCTCAGATTTTAAGGAGAGGAGTGTGGTGCTAGCCGTCGCCCACCCTCGGGCGTCTACCACTTCCTATCTCTCTTCGCAGTTTCTCACCAATTCTCGCAGCGACCTTCATGCCAAATCTCGTTCTTCTCACTCTCGTCCTCGTTCTCTCCCCTGCTGTTCCTCATCCTCTGACTCATCGCTCTCCTCGGCCTCGTTCTGAGACGCCGCTGCCGTCTGCCTTGCTCTCGCTGCTTCTCTCGCCGCTCTGCGTAACTCCGCCCTCCTCGCGGCATTGCGAAGCATGGAGTGTGTTATTTCGAATTGTTGCTTACGGTTTTTTTTCTACTTCTTTTTCACGATATGGCTGCCACGACGGCCCAAGTGCTGCCAGCGGGGCCAACGCTGCGGCTTTTGCAGTACTCGCCCGCGTGGGGCGCGCCTTCGGTCGATCCGCGGTGCACAAAGGCGCAGGCCTACCTTCGCGTCTGCGGCCGCTCCTACGAGGTTGAGGACGCCTCGGCCGCCGCGCCGGGCTGGTCGCCGCTGCTGCTGCCGGTGCTGCGCGACGGCGCGCGCGCGGTGGAGCCGGACGGGCTGTACGCGCACCTGCGCGAGGGCGGGATCGACGCCGACGCGAAGCTCTCCGCCGAGGAGCGCGCCGAGTCCGCCGCGTGGACGGCTCTCGTCGAGGAGCGGCTCGGGCTGGCGCTGCTGTACGCGTGCTGGGCCGAGGAGGACAACTACGCCGCGGTGCTCAAGCCCGCGTACGCGCAGAGGCTGCCCCTCCCACTCTGCCTCTACCTGCCGTGGACGATGCGCCGGCGCGCCCTCTCGCAGCTGGCGAGGCGTGGCGCGATGGGCGAGAGGGCCGCTGTGCACTGCTCGGCCGCTGTGAACAAGGCGCGTTCACAGCGCGAGGGCGAGTAGGTGAGGGCGTGGCGTACCGGCTGGGCGGCGAGGCGCTCGAGGCGCTGAACACGCGCCTCACCGGCCGCGGCTCCTTCTTCGCCTCCGGCGCATCGGCGGTGGACGCGACGGCGCCCCGCGCCTCCCTCGCTCCCTCCTCATTGTCACTTCTGACGCATCCGGCGCCAATGAAGTTGGGGGTGACACTGACACCCCGCCTTCCTCCTCCGCATCGCTTCGCCCACGTCCCCTCCTCGTCCGCCCCCCTCCCTCCTCCGCCGGGCTGGCTCCGCACACTAGCTCCTCGCACGCCTCTTCGCTCCGTGAGACAGGCTTTCTCGTACCTGACCGCCGTGCTGCGCTGCCCGCTGCCTCGCGACACCCTGCGTGCGCACCTCAAGTCGCTGCCTGCCCTCTGCAGCTACGTCGAGGCCTTCTCGACCACCTTCTTCGGCTCCTTTGAGCCCCTCCTCCCCTCGCCGGAGACAGACCCGCGGCTCAGGCCTCCGCCGCTGACCGGCCGCCCCACCGCCTTCCCGTATGCTTTCGGGGCAGACGAGGGCGGCGGCGGCGAGGCGTCCGAGGCGGCGGCGGGCGGCGGCAAGAGCAGCCGCACGCCCAAGCAGCGCCGCTTCAAGGAGCGGTCTCGCAACGCCGTGCTCGGCGCGCTTGGCGGCGCACTGGTGTACGCTGTCGCGACAGACTTGGCGGGCGGCGAAAGGAGGGGCGGCCCCTGCGAGCTGCGTGTCTTCACACCTGCAGCGTGAACAGGTGGGCGGCGAGGAGGAGCTCGACGAGTACGCCGCCGACGAGCAGCAGTGACGACCGACGGGCGGGCTGTGGGGGCCTCCCTGCCACAAGGCGTGAGGCCGGGGTGGCGGGGTTCACCTCTTGTGCTCGTCCTCTGGCGGGACTGGGCTGGAATTACGAGGTCCCATGTTCCATGACTGAGAACGCTCGGCCTCCACACACACTCGCGAGGTTGGCCCTCGACTGTTGGCCAACAGTACAGCTCGAGCGTACACAACCGTCACAGGGCACACACAAAAAAGGGTTATTATAGCGTGTACGATAGAGCCTGTGATTCACACGGTGTGATCTGAAAATGATCAGTTCTGCGTGAGGGGCGGCCGCTCGGCCGAGGCGGTGCCCGGTGCCGAACCTGTCGGACCTTAAGAGCCTGTACCTAATGTACGTGAACAACTACTCTTCTACCTCACACTCACACTCCAAAAGTCACTCGCGGTCGTCTGCGTCCACCCCCGCCTCGCTCGGGCTCGCGCGAGGAGGCGCCTCCCCCTCGCCCCCCTCCCACCCCCCCTCGCGCTTGGCCGCCCGCACGTCCTCGAGGAGCTGCCGCAACTCGTCGGCGTCCGCCTAGGGGCGCAGAGCCGTGCCTCTGTGGAGCGCCTGCGTGTGCGAGGCCCTGCTAAGGCCCTCCCCCGCGCGTGCTCCTCCCGCGCCCAGGCCCTCCCCTCGCTAGGCCTCGCTCGGGCGGGCTCGCCTTGTCGAGCTTGCGCTGCGCCTCCATCTCCCTGCGCATCTCGTTCTCGTCCACCTGCTCGCTCGGCGGGGCCGTGAGCGCAGCACTCCGACAGCGCAGCCACGCGTCCACGCACACGCACACCCAGCAGCGACGCGTACCAACGCAGCGACTCGAGTGTGGGTGTGGGGTGGGGCGAGAACTCGAGGCTGGTGGACGGAGACTGGTGAGAGGGCGTGCGGGAGGGGGTTGCGGCGCCTCGCGCGAGAAGGGCTTGATGGTGGGCACCAGCGCCGACCGGTCCACCTCGAGCTTCACCTGCTCACACGCGCGAGGTGTGAAGAGAGGCCGCCCTCCCTGCCAGCCACCCCGCCGCGCGAAGAGTCGCCATCGAGAAGGAGCTCTCCTCCGCGTGCAGCGTGCCGCCCTCCCCGTTCGGAGACGTCGAGTTCCACGCCGTCACCTTGCCAACCACCCGCAGGCTCGGCGCAGCGCCCTTGCCGCCGCCGCCGCCGTCGGCACCGCCGCCGCCGCCGCCGCCGCCTCCCTCCCCGCCGCCGCCGCCGCCGCCGTCCGTGCCGGGGTCTGTGAGCGCGAGCGAGAAGAGGAGCCCGTCGTACCTCCGCTCCAGCCCCGCCCGCCGGTTTGTGAGGGTCATCCGCAGCCGCCTCCTCCGCGAGCCGTCCTCCACCTGCACCGGCGGAGGAGCGGTGGTGGCGTGGTGAGGCCGGGGAGAGAGTCGCGGCGACGGAGGCGACGTCTGCAAGTGACTGGCCCTCCGCCCGTGTCCGAGGACGGCTTCGTTCACAGCGCGGCCATCCCACCGCCAACAGAGAGAGAGAGAGAGAGAGAGAGAGAGAGAGAGAGAGAGAGAGAGAGAGAGAGAGAGAGAGAGAGAGAGAGAGAGAGAAGAGAGAGAGAGAGAGGGAGGGAGGGAGGGAGGGAGGGAGGGAGGGAGGGAGGGAGGGAGGGAGGGAGCCGGGACATCTAGCTGCCCTGACAACCGACCACTCGCCGCCTGGGAAGTCGGAGCCGCGGGAGACGGCTCCGTCGGCGCGCAGGACCATGTTGGTGCTGAATAGCGACTTTGTCGACTCTCCTCCCGCCACTGCGCTCAGTGCATCCTCCGTGGCGAGGTCGTCGTAGATTGTCCAGAAGCCGGTCACGCGGCGCTGCAGCTCGGCGATGGAGAGAGGCACCCGCGGCTCCTGGCCCGCCTCGGCGGAGTCGGGGAAGACCATACGCTGCCACGCAGCGCGCGGCCGCGCCGAGGCGGCGAGGATGGCCACGACGCCGCTCTTGGTGCGCATGTGTGAAGGCAAAGGCAAAAGATTTTCGGCAGGGGCGCACCAAAAAAAGAAAATTTTCCGCGAGAGCGATGTGCCATGTCCGCTAGCTTGGGATGTCCGTTGTATTTATTTATTTATGTCCGCGGCGTTTGTTTTACACCAAATACCTCGTACACCAAAAAAAAATCTGCGCTCGCGCCGCCTCTCCCGGCAGGCCTCTGCGGCGTCAGCCTCCTCCTCCCTGTTGGCATACGCCGTGAATCGGAGCCACGACGCTGTATATGCTGGCTTCCTCCGCACGACGGCTGCTCACACTCGCCAGCTGCTGCTCTCCTCGCATCCACCCGCCACTCGCCTCAGCGCCGCGGCCAGAGGCAGACTCGACGGCGTCTGAGCGGCGGCGAGTGGTCGCTGCCCTGAAGCGATTCGACCAGCTCGAGGCGATGTCGTCCCGTGGCGACCCAGAGGGCTGCAGCTGCGCCCTCGAGGAGCTCCGCCGGCTGCGGGAGGACGGGACCGCCTTTGCGCTCGGCCCAAACGCGCACAACCGCGCGATGCGAGTGTGCGCGTCATCGCCGGGTACGGTGGAGACGCTCTTCGCCGAGGCTGCCGCGGCCGGCGTGCAGGACGATGCGAGTCTGCAGGTGCTCGCGACCTGCCGGCTCGAGGCGGAGGATTTTGCCGGCGCCGCCGCCGCGCTGTCGGAGCTGTTGGGCCCGCTGCTCGTCCAGCCCGCGCACGGGGCTGCTCGCCGCCGGGTGCCTGCCCGCACCGCCAAGGTCGCCCTCTCCGTGCTCGGCGCCTGCCGCGACGCCAGCGTCTGCGGAGACGAGTGCAGAGGTGCTGGCCGCGTGCAGCCGAGACCCAACCGCCGAGACCCAACCGCCGAGACTGCGCCACGACGTCAGCAGAGGTGCTTGGCGCGGGTTGCTTCACCGGGTTTCCTTGTGCGTGGCAGGAGCGGCGCGGCAGTGGGCGGCCCTCGGGGAGGGTGGCCAGTGGGCGCCTCCTGCTCCGCCTCCCTCGCCCGAGCGGACCCTCGCCCTCCTCAAGCCGGACTGCGTCGCGAGTGGGGCGGCGGGCGAGGTGGAGGCTCTGATCGCGGAGCACGGGTTCGAGGTCGTGCGGCGGAGGAGGTGGAGGATGGGGGAGGGGGAGGCGGCGGCCTTCCTGCAGGCCTCATGCTCGTCGTAATCTCGGGTCAGCTCGGGTCAGCTCGGGTCATCAGCCGCGATCTCGACGCAGGCCTCGTGGGGCTCATCGTCCGGCGACCGCGCGCGGCGCCTCTGCTCGGAGGCCGCCTCCCTCTCCGCGGGACACTGATGACGAGTCAGAGTGCGATGCTGGCAGGCGCTTCTTCTCGGAGATGGTCTCGTTTTACGCGAGCGGCGAGGTGGTCGCCCTCCTCCTGCAGCGGGCGGGGGCCATAGGCGCGTGGAGGGAGCTGCTCGGGCCCGGCGACCCGGCGGCGGCGAGAGGGTACACGGACAGGCACGGCCGGGTGCGGCGCCCAAAGGCGCCGCGGAGCGTGCGAGCGCGTTGGGGGCGCGACAAGCAGGCGAACGCGGCGCACGGGTCGGATTCGGAGGAGGCGGCGGGGAGGGAGATCCGGTTCGTGTTTGGGGAGGGGTGGGTCGAGGCGGGCGGCGCCGGCGAGGGAGCGAGCGAGCTCGAGCAGCAAGCCGCGCGGTAAGACGGAGAGAGTTTTTTGTTTTGTCGCTTTCGGTTTGGTCGATGATGCACTCCCACCCGTTCCGCGGCCGTCGGACGACCTCGCTCCGGTCCTCCGCACAGCCACTAGGGGCCTCTAGGCCACAGCACCGGCCACCGCGTGGCGGCGGGTAGGGTTGCCTAACGTTAGGATAGGGGCAAACACTGAAAACGTAACTTGATCGGGGCGCGGTTTTTTTTGGACTAGACTGCTCGGGGGAGGTGGGCGAGTGATTGGGTAGCTTTGGGGCCACCGAAAATAATGAGAACCGCCCCCTATATCTCGCCAAATCTCGATTTTTCGCGGGAATGGGCGCTTCTCAGCCCCGCGCGAGCTACAGTGACTCCCCAGGGCTTGTCCCGTGGCCCAAAGTGGTACCCCGAGCTCCGCCACGAGCGTGGGCAATCAGGAGACACCCACAGTCACGGCGGGCGAGGAGTTGGGTGACGGCCAACTGTCGATTACGGCGCCTCTGGAGCCTCCTGTATCGTCGGTTCGGCTCGAAGATCGTGCCGCATCCGCATGTAAACCACCTCCGCGCCCCCGCTGGCACATGTCCGCATTGCCCGAGCCTGGGAGAAGTTCCCAGTGCCCGGAGGCTGCACAGGTCCGCGAAACGCTGGCGCTGCAGCTCCCGGCGCGCACCCCAGATTCGCGAGGAAAACAGCCGAAAACGGGTCGCGCCGCGATCGACCCTCAGCGAGCCCAGGCGAGCCTGGTAATCCCACCCGGTGGTAAGCGCACGTCCTCCGCGTAATCTAGCGCGCTGTGCAGCCCGCCAGTGCATGGCGTCGACCTGGGCCGCGACTGGTCGATCTCGCCGCGATCTCGCCATCCAATTCTCGGTCAGGTGTAGTGGATCACCTTAAAATCCTGGATTAATTCCTGAGCCCACCTGGCCCCACCAGACGGGTAGCACGAGGCGCCCGGGCCACTTTTTAGCGCCTCCCGAGCCTCCCGGCGCCTCCTGTGGCCTCCTGAACCCTCTCCCCCGCAGCCTCTCTCGGCGACGTGGGGAGCGGCTGCCGTTCACGGCTCGCACCGGCTCTTCCAGCGGCTCCACGCTTGCCGCCTGTGACGCCCGCGCCACGCACTGCCACGCGGCCGCTCGAGAGAGCGGTCGACGCCCATACTGCTGGGCGTGGCGCTCTATCGGTCGACGCTTCGGCGTCGCTGCTTGGTTGGGGACCCGTGCCTCGACGCGGCGGCGCGGCCGAGTACGGCTCGGTGGCACAGCGCGTCGCCACGGATAAGATGCGGCCACAAGCGGCTGGGGAAGCTCCAAGAATGTTTCGTTCTACTTGCAGGAGAGGTCCAAGCAATTCTGGTGACTGCATGGCTCTTCGCGTCGAGGGATGCGTCCAAGATCGGATTGGCTTTTTTGAAAGCGCCGTGTCTTGCGGCATATTCCGGGTCATCGATCCACGTGATGTGACAAACTAGCCGCTAGTAATGAATATGGGAATGTCATCTAGTTCAGGCAACCCGAGCGACAACTTCACGCGCTTGGCGTGTGTGTCGTGTGTGCCTGCTGCTCAAGCGGATCATATATCCTATCCCCTCCGTTTTGTGGTAACGCGGATATGAGCATATACACAACACACATACCACGGTCCGTCTGCATCCTCGGCCATCTACCGCCGTGCCGCATCACCCTATGTCGCCGCGCGGCGGCCGCCGACGCGTCGGCGCTCGCCTGCAGCTCGGTGTACGAAGGCGCCGCCTCGGGCTCCTCCCGCGTGCGGTGCAGCGCCGAGAGCACCTTCAGGAGCGAGGCGACGGGCACCGCCGCGGCGATGTGCCGGTGTAGCGTGTGGGAGCCGTTGGCCGGGTTGTACGACGGGCCCGAGATGCCCTTGGACTTGGCGAGGCAGTTCTTCAGATAGTTCGAGAGCGCGGTCTGCCCGACGTCGTGGTCGATGACCTCGAGCTGCACCAGCGTGCGCGTGGTGTGGGCGAGCGGCTCCGCCGCCCGAGCGGCGGCTTGACTGAGCAAGGACGGGACGAGGCCCTTGGCGAGAGCCAAGTTACGCCACTGCGGATCGTCGGTCGGAGGCTGCCATCGCTCGCGCAACTGCGCACAACACGCACACACGGCTCAGGCAGCAAGGCCGAGATAGAGCCGAGATATAGCCGAGATACAGCCGAGATATAGCCGAGGTGTAGCAGCCGCGGCGGCGGCTCAGGGGGCGGTGGGAGAGCAGGGCGGGCGCCTGCTCGTAGCGGCTCGACTGCAGCAGCACGACGTTCATCCACTGGTCGACGAGCGTCGGGACGGCGACCCACGAGCCGTCCGCGCCGCGGCCATGTAGCAGCACGAGCAGCGCCCATGCGTGCACCTCCGCCTCGCTGGGCAACGCCTTGCCCGAGGCGCACAAGATCGAGTTCCTGCGGCGCGCGCGCGGCAAGAGCTCGCCAAGGCGGGGCGAGCGCGGCCACGGCGAGGGCGGGCACGCACCGCTTCGATTCGGGCGCCCCGCGCTGCAGCGCCGCGCGCCGCTCAAGCTCGGCCTGCACGTTATGGAGGATCTACTGGAGCTCCTCGGTCGTGACATCTGCGGCACACACGCGCAAACCTGAGACCCCCACGGGCCCGGCGGCGGCGCGGCGAGCGGGGCGCGCGCAGGGGCACACACGGGCGTCGCAAACGCGCGGGCGCAGCGCGCCTGGAGCACCAGGAAGGGTGCCACCGCCGGCGCCGTGCTCAGCGTGATCACCTGCACGCACAGGCATCGCAGATCGTCAATGTCCCGCTGTGTCCCGAGCTTGGGGCTCGCGCTCCGGCGCCACGGGCTCGACGCGAGGACTCTGGAGAGAATGTCAGAGTGAGAGTGGATGAGGTTGGAGTGGAGGCGGCAATCGCCGTGCGGGCGCGCCGGGGGCTGCAGACTCCTCCAAAGCAGCGGGACGGGGCGCGCGCGCGACCGCGGGCCGGATTTTGCGGGGGAACTCGGGGGGAGGGCGCCCCGGACACGCCCTGCACGCGGCGCGGGCTGGCGCTCACCAGGAGCGGCAGCATTTGCGGTTTTCGACTGTGGTTTTTCTTTGGACGCCATCATTCTTTTCCCTTTCAGCGGCCTCACTTGTCGCATTTGCGAGGAAAGCAAGCGCGAGCGCTGCGGCGCCGGAGTCTTTCGGTCACCATTCTGGACCATCTTAATATTTTTCAATGATTTTTGCAGGGTCTGAAAGCTGAGACTCAGCTCTTCACGCTCGGTATGAAAGCAAGGTCCGTCCGGGGGGTCCCATTTTTCAGTATTTCCCCCTAGTTAGGAGCTGAACAGTGTTGCTAGTGTTAACAGTAACAACAGAACAACACTCAACAGTGGGGCTCCCCAACAACAGTAGCTAACCGGTTAGGCCGACTGTGAACAACATGTACATGTACTAAGGAAGGGGCCTGGCAGTGACCCACGACGATCTCTAGAGTCTAGTGTCCAGTGCGGGTAATACCCGAAAATACCCGGAACATCCCAGGTATTTTCGGGTTTTACCCGGTTTTTTTGCCATTTTCTGCTTGCTGGCCGCTGAACAACAGAAACAACAGAAACAGTAACAGAAACAGAATACTGAATAGCGCAACTGTTAGGCCCCAAATTAACGTTAGGCAACCCTAGCGGCAGGCTCGGCCCTGGCGGGCTGGCGGCGCGCGGCGGGCGCGGCGGCGGCTCAAGAGCGACGCCGGAGCGCGAGTTGATATAGCCTAAAGAAAGAAGAGAAGCCAAACGAGGGATGGGACGAGGACAGGGTCCCCACCTGCACGAGCAGGATTTTGGAAGGACGCGATCAGGGACACAGGGGAACGGGAGTGGGGAGCGCATCGCGACACACGGAGGGGGGCTGGGCAGGGTTCACCCACACGACAGGGTCCCAGGGATTCCCTTGTCGTATAGGACAAAGTTGCACCCGGCGGCACGGGGGCAGGCTGGCTACGCCCGGCGGGACCCTGAGGGAGGGTGTAGAGGATGTAGAGTGTAGAGCGCTGTAGAGCTGTAGAGATGTAGAGCGCTCTGGAGCGCTGTAGAGCTGTAGAGCTCTACATCCGCCGCGTGACGAGGTGTAGAGCGATATAGAGGCGCTCTACAACGTGAAATCTCTACAACAAACTCTACATCTCCCAGTAAGCTATAAGTACGTACGTACATCAATCATCATAAGCGGCGAAAGAGGCACGGTCGCTCTCCGACATGAGGCGCGTTGCACTTGCCAGTGCTGCCCTGGCCTTCTGTCTGCCCGCCCAATGGGTGGGAGGTGCCTCTGCTGCTGTGGCATGCCTCACGGCTGCGACTGGCCGGCGCCTCGGCGCGTCAGCTCGGCTCGGCGTAGCGATCGTGGCCAGCGCAACTCGCCTGGACTCAACGCTCAGCCAGGAGCTCCCGCACGCGCTAGCGCGAGTCATGGCGCATACAACGCGTCTGAATGCTCGCCTCGCCTCGCGCAAATGCGACCGTCCTCGCAGCCGACAGTCCACCGCCTGCTAAAGAAGCACAGCGATGAATGCGGCACCGGCGACGCATGGCAGGCTGGTCATGACGCAGTTATAGGGTGTTGTGTGCCGTCAGAGTGACTCTCTGTGTGTCAGGGATACGAGTCAGGGCCGTCCATCAGAGCTCCACTAAGCTCGGAGACACCCCATTAGCGCGGCTCGACCTCTTTTTGAGTCACTGCCTTCCCGGCGGTTTGGCTGTAGAGCCTCTACAACCAACTCTACAGCAAAATCGCGCTCTACATCGCTCTACAACGCACCCGCATCGTCACGCGGCGGATGTAGAGCTCTACAGCTCTACAGCGCTCCAGAGCACTCTACATCTCTACAGCTCTACAGCGCTCTACACTCTACATCCTCTACACCCTCCCTTTCCTTCGCATAGCGGCCACTCTTCGGATCGCTGGTCGAGCGACCCGGGGGATGCCCCGCGCGCCTGACCCACAGGCGCGAGAAACGAATCTGCGAGGCGCGGCCGCTCATGCCACATGCGGCCCGATGGGGAGGAATGGGGCGGACTACGGGGATCGGCTTCTTACACCGCCCTTCCTTGCAGCGAGCCCCCTCCAACCCACCCGCGCTAGGTCTCGCTCGCGGCTCGGGGGACGCAGGGGTCACACCCGACGACCTCGAGAACTAGCCGGGGCAGTCGGAGAAGGGGCAACTCCGTGCACTGACGGTCGGCCGCCAGAAAACACGCCTGCGTGGATCGCGTCACACCAATCCTCGCTACCCAACGCGGCCAAAGGATAAATAAATAAATAAAACGGGCACGCCAAACGAGGGGTGGGAGAAGGACAGGGTCCCCACCTGCACGAGCAGGATCTTGTATGTAAGGACGATCAGGGACACAGGGGAACGGGAGTGGGAAGCGCATCGCGACACGGAGGGGGGCTGGGCAGGGTTCACCCACACGACAGGGTCCCAGGGATTCCTCTCTCGTATAGGATATCCACCTCGAGAAATATCCTGAGCGATTTCTTCTGTCCCGAGATCTTCGCCCTCGCCTTTTCGCCATCGCTCGCCCTCGCTTTCGCCTTTCGCTCGCTTGTCTCCATTCTCGCCCAAGCGAATGCGCCTGAGGCTCGCCCTCCTCTGCTCCAGCCTCGCGACCGTGCACCCGCTCACGCTGCCGGGAGCGCCGCCGGCCTCGAAGCCGGCCTATGCGCTGCACGACGCGGCGCAGGCAGGTGACGCGAGCGCTGTCAGCCTCCTCCTCCTCTCGGGCCTGCCACCCGAGGAGCGAAACGCAAAGGAGTCGACCGCGCTGCACCTCGCCGCGCTGCACGGGCACGACGGCGTGGCGGAGGTGCTGCTCGACGGCGGTGCCGCGGTGAATGCGAGGAACAGCGACGGCATGACGCCGCTGCACGCAGCCGCACGGGCGGGCCACCTCGAGATCGCCGAGCTGCTGCTCGCCAGAGGCGCGGAGGCGGAGGCGGCGTCCAACTCGGGACTGCGGCCGATTCGGCTGGCGGCGCAGCAGGCCGACGCGACGATGATCGCAGCGCTGCGCGGCGCCGGTGCGGACATGGACGCAGACACGGCGGAGGCTGCCTTCTGGGCGGCGGTCAAGGTGGTCGATTCGATGCCTGAGGACGAGGCGCTGCCGACCGAGGTGCGGCGAGAGGGGGACCGAGAGGGAGGCGAGGCGCGACGCGCCCGTCCTTCTGCACGCGCCGCCGCCGCCTCGCCCTCAGGTGCCTCGGCTGCTACGCGAGATCTTCGACGCAGACATGCGGCAACTGCTCGCGCGAGACAAGCTGGCGCGCAACCTGACTTGCCTGCAGCCCGCCGAGGAGGGGGGCGTCGACGCCGTCGCCGCCGGCATGAAGTACGTCTTCGACCAGGCGGAGCACGCCAACCTGCCGCTCAAGGAGGGCCGCCGCTGCGAGGAGGGCGCCTGCTGCGAGGCTTGCTCGCGCGTCACCTTCCCCGCCTTCGCCACCGCCGCAGAGACGGACCTCCAGGTCTTCCCAGACCTCGAGGGGTTCAACTTCAACGGCTGCGGCAAGTGCTCGACCGCGACGATCCTCAACTTCGTCCGGCTCGTCGAGCGGATTCGGCGCTCCATCTCGCACGAGTACGGCCTCCCCCTCTCGCGCGTGCTGCCCGTGCAGGCGCGCCGCGCGCGCACGAGCGGGCCCGCGCCGGCCTGGACCCTTTCCCGGGCCCTTGCTGCAGGCGTACGCGCGAAAGTACGAGGCGGGCCTCAAGCAGACGGGAGGGGGAGGCTCGGCGGGCGACTCTGTGACATTTGCTCACGGACGAGGCGAGATGGTGCGACATGCGCTGTAGCGTGCAACGCGATGTGGACAGGTGATCCTGCACACGGACGAGGCGACGCACGCCGTCTACCACTACTCGTGCGTCCTCTACCTCTCCACCCAGGGGCACGACTTCACCGGAGGAGCGGGGCCGGCCGGGCGGGGCGCCCCTCCGGCAGCCTCTCACACTTCCCGCCTCCGGCCCCCCAGGCTCGTTCGTGTGGAACGACCCGCCTGCCGACGGCGGGGACGGGCCGCGCGTGCTCACGCCCTACGCGCCCGTGCGAGGCCCCCTCCCTCCCCCCTCTGGTGAACCGCTCGTGCCGGGGCCGCGCTCTCTTCACGGCGGCGGCGGGTGTGATCAGGCTCCGCGGTCATCTTTTCGAGCGGGTGGGAGAACATGCACCAGGTGGAGCGGCTCGAGTCGGGCACCCGCTTCGCCGTGCCGTGCTTCTTCACCACCGAGGCGGTGCCGGAGGCGTCGCTCGACCACTTTGGCGGAGTCCCTTCCGACGACGAGGAGAGAGGCGGCCGAGGGCCGACGCCTGGCCGGCAGCGTCTCCTCACACCGCGAGCGTGAGCAGGCGATCGCGGACGACCTGCAGCACCTGCTGCTCGACGCGCGGCGCGAGAACCCGATGCAGAGCGCCGGGCGCGTCAAGCAGCTCATGATGAAGTGGCACCATTTGCTGGGAGGCGCCGCGGGCGCCGCCGCGTCATAGCACTGTAGGTGTAGGACCTAGAGATGCTCTCTGCCGCGTCGTCGACCTTCGGACCCCCCGCCCCCTCCTGTAGACTAGAGCTGAGACTGTATAGTCCACACATCCCCGTGCGGATTTTTCGTTCTCCCCCCGCCGGCATCGCTCAAACTTGCGCGTGATAATTTTGACTTCGGAAAAACAAGAGCGCACACGCCGAACGGGAACGCGCGTAGCCCGTAGAGCTCGCCGCGCGCCTGGATATCTAATGTAATCAGTACGTTAGTATTCTATATCGACCTCGCAAGATCTGCGGACCCGGGCCGCGCGGGGGGCGGCTGCATAATGGGCGGCTGCCAGACGACGTCTCGCGGTCTCGCCTCTCGCGTGCGTCTGCCCCGGCGGTCGGGGGGGTCCGCCCACATCGGTCATCGGACATACATGTGTGCATGACATTGACATTGACATTGACATTGACATTGACATTGACATTGACATTGACATTGACATTGACATTGACATTGACATTGACATTGACATTGACATTGACATTGACATTGACATTGACATTGACATTGACATTGACATTGACATTGACATTGACATTGACATTGACATTGACATTGACATTGACATTGACATTGACATTGACATTGACATTGACATTGACATTGACATTGACATTGACATTGACATTGACATTGACATTGACATTGACATTGACATTGACATTGACATTGACATTGACATTGACATTGACATTGACATTGACATTGACATTGACATTGTGCATGCACATGCACATAGATAGCATGTGTGCATGTTGCATGTTGTATTAATATCACGCCCAATGCCATGGATGGGTCCGACGCCGACGACCTCCACACACTCTGATCTCTCTGTAAAAAGTAACTCAGTGTTGCGCGCCACAGAATCCCAGACCCAGTCAGAGTAAGGCGCCCATCCCTGCCCGGCCGGCACACCTCTCACTCCCACTCGAGCGGGCGCGTCATGTTTGCGAGTTTGAGACCCTTGACCTCCGCCGCGGGGTTGCGGCCGTTGTAGAAGACGAGCACGTGCTGGTGGCACATGCCCAGCTTGGCGGAGGAGGCCATCGCTTTGCCGGCCCGCACGGGCAGCGTGTTGAAGGGGAGCAGCATCACGCACGAGTTGTACAGCCGGCAGCCCGCCTTTTGGAAGGCGGAGACGGTGTCGCCCACAAAGTTGCGCATGAAGCCGTCGCCATCGCGGATCTCGCCGACGACGAAGCAGGCGAAGCGGCGAGGCTTGAGGCGGTGCGCGGCGGCGGCGATGATCGCCTCGTAGGCGGCGAGGAAGGTGGCGTAGCTGTGCGCCCTCGACAGGTCGCGGGGGTCGTCCGAGTACTGCTCGAGGTCAAAGTACGGCGGGCACGAAAAGACAAAGTCGGCCTGCCGAGGCGCGCCCGCGGGGCCGTCGCCATCGGCGAGCTCTCGCGCGTCCGCCTCCACCCACTCCGGAGGCCGCCAGCGGTGGCCGCTCGACCCCGCGACCGCGCCGGCGCGCGCCGCCTGCTCGCGGTTCCTCGCGATCTGCTCGCGCCGCAGCTCGAGGCCGACGTACCGCAGGCCGAGCCAGCCGGCGACCACGCCGCGCACAGACCCTCCGGCGAACGGGTCGAGCACAGTCCCTCCGGCGGGGCACCACCTGAAGGGTGGGGGGGGGGCGGGGGGCGAGGCGCGGGGCGTGTCGAGGGACGTGTCCAAGTGGAGGGCGTGCCCGGTGCGGCGGGAGGGGCGGGAGGGGGCGGGCACCAGCGGCAGCAGAGCTCCGAGAGGACGGGGCAGAAGACGGACGTGCCCCTCGCCCCCTCGCCTCCGAGGCCCTTGTAGCCGATGAGGTTGTCGCCGCGGCCCTCCTCGGAGTGCACGTTGTACGTCCCCTCCCAGAAGTGCCTCCGCTCCTTCCAGTACCCCCTCTGGCTGTTGAGCACGGAGAAGGGCGGAGCGCCAAACCTGTGGCCCAGCTCGCCCTGCCCGTCCGGGCGGACGGCGTCCGCCTCGGCCAACGCCCTGGCCTCCTGCGACGGCTTGCGAGAGAAGCCGTGCAGCCGGCCCGCCCCGGCACCCGACCCCGCTGCCGCCACGCCGCCCCCGTGCGACCGCGACGAGCCCCCGCCCGCAGACGGCGCCGCCGCAGCTGCGCCTGACTGGCCCGTGCTGCTGCCGCCCACCGGCGAGCCTGGCGCCGGCGCTCCCGTCGCGTCTCGCGCCGCCGCCCCTGCGTCGGGGTAAAAGCAGTCGATGCGCGCGCGCTTTGCGGCCGGAGCCGCACCAGCGCCGCCCGTCCCCGAGACGGCCGCCGCCGCCGCGACCGGCTTGCTGGCCGCTCGCTCCTCCTCCTCCGCCGCCGCCGCCGCCGCAGCGGCAGCCTCAGCGGCGCACACGCCCCGGGCAGCCTCCACGAACTCGGCGTTCGAGAGAGAGAAGGGCATGACGGAAGCCAGGCCCGGAGCAGTCTCGTCGTCGAGGTCGTCAGATGCGGCAGAGGAGGCTGGAGCTGCACCAGCGGCGGCGGCGGCGGCGGCGGCGAGGCAGTGCATCAGCTCCGGGTCCTCCTGCGTGCACTCCTCCTCGCTCTCTTCCGCCGCCTCCGCCTCGCCGTCCCTCTCTCCACCCGCCTCCGTCTGCTCGCCAGCCGCCTCCATCTCCTCGCCGCCCGCCTCCTCCTCGCCACCGGCAAGTGCGGGCGAGCCACTGGACGGATGCACAAAACGGAAGATGGCCTCCGCATCGGCTCCAGGTCCACCGAGTCGGATCTCGTCGCCGTCGGTGAGGATGTGGTCCTGGTTCGGCTTCAGCCGCAGCGAACCCGCGATGAAGACGCCGTTGCGAGACAGATCACGGAGCACCCAGCCGCCGGAGTCCGACTTGCGGAGGCTCGCGTGATCGCGGCTGATGAACTCGCCGTGAACGACTGCTTCCGAGTCGGCATTGCGGCCGATTCGAAACGGCGTGCCGTCGAGGAGCGGCAGCCTCCTCCCAGACGGCGGAGGCGGAGGCTGAAGCTGCTCGAGGTGCGGCAGACGCATGTCGCTTCCAACGAGTGTTACAACGAGGGAAAACGCAAAAGAATTTTACCAGGGAACTCCCTCGCAGAAAACTGGGCACGGGACTGGCGCGCACTGGCACTAACACGCAAAAGAATTTTGCCAACGCCATTATCCTAACGGTGTGGGGGCGCGGAGGGCTTGTTGGCGAGCCAAAATGGTGTTTTCCGAGGCGCTGCGCTAGGCTCAGAGCGAGTTCGCGCTGCGCTAGGCCCAGACGGCGAGTTCGCGCTGCGCTAGGCTCACAGATGCGAGTGCGCTGCGATAGAAGAAAAAAACAGGGTCGAAAAGCGGGAGACGAAAAGAATTTTACCACACGACACTGGGCACGGGACTGGCGCGCGAAAAGAATGTTAGCACCCCACTCTTGTCGTGGAATGTTCCCCATTCTTACCGCAGTCGGTTAGGCGGCTCCGGTGGTTAAAATGTTTTAGTGCTAGCACGCGCCAGTCCGCACCTGTGAGCTGTGTCGAGCCTGAAGAAAGAAAGAAAACACAAACCCTAACGAGGAATGGGAGGAGGACAGGGTCCCCACCTGCACGAGCAGGATTTTGGAAGGACGATCAGGGGCACAGGGGGTTCTCCGATGCTCCTGACAAGGGACACGACAGGCTCGCAGCGCGGTGCTCGGTGGACTCCCAACTCCCACTGACTCTGGCGGTCTCATCTCAATCTATAGCGACCTGCAACCTGCTGCCTCCAGCTTCTCACTGGCAGTCTCTCGCTACCACAGGCACACTGACAGGGGTCGAGTCTGTCTGCTGTGTGAGAGAGGCCCAAATTCTTTTCTCTCGTGCGAGGCGTGAAAAGAAAGAAACAACACCCTCCCCAAAGGAGGGATGTGGGAGGACGGCACGCCGTCAAGACAACACACACAGGGATGTCACGGGAAGGAAGGTGTGCGGCTGCCTCACTTACTATCTCTCTTCGATATCTCTCTTCGCAGTCTCTCGCCGATCCCGCCTCCAGCCACCCTCGTCGCCGCACCCGTCACCACTGCCGGGGACGCAATCCCCAGGACGTCACTGATCCGACTTCGGCAGCGGCGACAGGCATCACCTTTGGGCGTTTGCCCCTTTCTCTATCTCTCTTCGCAGTCCCTCGCCGATTCTCACAGCAAAACCTTCATGCCGCCTCGCGGTCGTCCCACTCTCGTCGTTCTCCCTCCTGCCGCTTCATCCTCTTGTCTCGTCGCTCTCCGCTCCTCGTTCTGCGACGACACCGCCGCCTGCCGCTCCCTTGCTCTCGCGGCTACTCCCGCGCCTCTCGGCGCAACTCCGCCCTCCTCGCGGCGTATTTTGGCCCCTCGAGTTTATCAAGCTCTCCTCGCGCAAGGACCACTCTTCTGACTCCCACTCCGATCATTTGCCGCCAAGTCATATCATTGCTCAGGTCCACTCTCGTTTCTTGTACCTCCACGGTCGGTGTTGGCGCTAGGGTTCCCTTCGGGTGCATCATGACAGCTGACAAGGGGAGATTGCTAGTGACGTGTCATCGTCATCGATTCGTCTTCCGGACTCCTTCCGTTCGGCGTGGCTCACTCTCCATGCCGTGAACAGGCGCCCTATCCATCCTACATCCTTCTCTCGCTCATCTACCCGTGCCCTGGTCTTGTCGTTGTTCCGTACCCATGTCTGGATGGCAATCGAAGCTGCCTTCCGGATTTGTAGGGAAAATATTTCGCAGCAGGGCCACAACATCAGACACAACTACACGCTTCGACGCCTCATCCTCGCCCTACGCGCCGCGTGGGGCACCGCTGTGCGAATGGAGCCGACAAACCACCTCGGTCAGAGTTACAACAAACAACCCGACGTGGATGCGGACAACATTGGCAGGGGCGGCAATGCACTATTGCGGAGATGTCAAGGTCGTCTGTCCCCCCTCAGCAGCAGCGGGGAGCACGGCTGGAGCACGTCGGAAGGGCGCTTTTGTCGCTTTCGGCAACACCGAATCATTCTACCGGAACATGGTTGAGGGGCATGGGCCCTACTGCGAGGAGGGAGAGGGGGAGAGGGGGGGGGGAGAGGGGGGGGGGGGAGAGGAGGAGGGGGGGGTGGGGGGGGGAGGGGTACGGGGGGGACGGCATGGAAGGGGAGAGGAAGAGCAAGGGCGAGAGAGGGCAAGGGACCGGGCGATGGCATACCAGGGGGGGCAGGGTGGTGGGCGGCGACCGCCGCAGTCCTACGGCGGGGACTATCGCTACCGGCCAGGGAAGACAAGGACGTCGACGTGCACAGCTGCTGCTGTTCGAATCGTTCGGCGGGTTCGGCGGGTTCGGGAAGGGGGTCCGCGAGATCCTCTGGAAGGCGACGGACGTGCTACAGAACAAGCTGACGCGGGCCCAGTACCTCGGCGAGGTGACTTGGACCACCAAAGTACCAAGAATTGGCTGGGGCTGCAGAACATGCTGCAGAAGCCGCGTATCTCGGTCGTTCTTCACACGGCAATCGCAGAGCAGATTATTGTGAATGAGCTAGCCTGTGGCGGGGGCGGGCGAGTGCACGGAGCTAAGACCTAACTAAGTAAGTGCCTCGCCGCCCTCGCAGGAGTCGCTCCCGTAGTGTATCTACCTGTGTGTGCCAGCGCGCGCCAGTCCCGTGCCCAGTGTCGTGCGAGGGAGCTTTGTTGTAAATTTTCAGGAAAATTCTTTTTGGGGGCGCGCCGCCAGGCGCGTCCTCACTTTTGTATCACACCTGTCTCGTCTCTCTCCTTCTTTCTATCGCAGCGCACTCCCCACACTCTCGCCGTCTGTGTACTGTGAGCCTAGCGCAGCGCGAATCGAACTCGCCGTCTGAGCCTAGCGCAGCGCGAACTCGCTCTGTCTGAGCCTAGCGCAGCGCCTCGGACATCACCAATTTGGCTCGCCAACAAGCCGTCCGCGCCCAAGAAGTGTTGGCAAACCAAGACACAGAGCTCACACAGGATCACAGCACACAGACTTGATGCCCATGACAGCACACGCGCAGCCGGAATTCTTTGCCGTTTGCCGGCCACCGCGGCGGCAAGGTGAGTCGATGTCGGGCTTTTGAGGACACTGAATGCCCAGCGCCGACCGGTATATTCGCTGAGAGTTTCGATTCGCGCGCATGTCGCGCTGGCTTGTCGAGCTAATCGAGAAGCGGCTGCATGAGGTGCTCATTCCGATCGACCCGAACAACCCGGTCTGCCGCGTCGACCTCCGCGCGGGCCTCATCGAGCTCGAGGATGTCCGGCTGCACGCCGCCTTCCTCTCGCGCAACTACACGCTTCCCGTCGAGGCGCGAGCCGCGCCTCCCGTCCGCCACACACCACCAGTGTTCTGCTCCACCGCTAACGCCGTCGGCCATGATTGAAGCCTTCCTCTGCTCGGCTCCACCACCCACACCCGCGCCAGAGCACGAACACGGCACGACGGCAGGTGCTTTCGTCGCACGTGCGGCGCGTGCGCGTCAAGTTCTCGCTGCGCGCCCTCCTCACCCGCCACCGGATCGAGCTCGAGCTTGACGGCCTCGCCCTCGTCCTCGCGCCGAGAGACGATCCGCCCATCGAGGCGAGCCGAGGGAGGGAGACGGGAAAGAGACACGCGCGAGACACGCGCGAGAGACGCTGCGCTGCCCCTCCTCCGCCGCCCCGCCTCCCCGCCTCTCCACCGCCCCTCCACCACCCCCTCCTCCCCTCCCCTCCCCTCCTCCCTCCCGTAGGTCGCCCGCTCCATCTTTCGGCGTGAGAAGCAGCAGGCGATCGCGGGCGCGGAGCTGTGGCAGGCGCACTCGCGCTCGATCTCCAACGACCTCGGCGCGCAGCCCGACGGCTCGAGCCACGGCGGCATGCGCAAGCTCCGTGCCTTCGGCGCCAGGGTCGCTCAGCAAGTGCTACCGCTCGAGATCGGCCGAGATCGAGCCGAGATCGAGCCGAGATCGAGCCGAGATCGAGCCGAGATCGAGCCGAGATCGAGCCGAGATCGAGCCGAGATCGAGCCGAGATCGAGCCGAGATCGAGCCGAGATCGAGCCGAGATCGACGGGCGTCGGTCCGCAAGCAAAAGCTGCGCGTCTCACGGACCCCTCCCCGTGGGCAAGGCGCTCCTCAACGCCACCGTCCGCATCTCGCACGTCCACATCCGGTGCGAGATCACGCCGAGATAGAGCCGAGATAGAGCCGAGATGTGGCTCTCGCCACGTCCACATCCGGGGCAAGCCTCGCCCCTCCCCACACACCCCACCTCAGCTACACCTCGGCACCGCCTCGGCACCGCCTCCTCCGCCGCCTCCTGCGCCGCCTCCTGCGCCGCCTCGGCACCGCCTCCTGCGCCACCCGCAGGTACGAGTTCACCTTCCTCGCCTCGGGCGCCCCCGCCGCCTTTGGGGTGATGGTGCGCTCCGCGACCGTCGCCGACCCGCCGAAGGAACAGCGTGAGGCGGCTCGATCCGAAGGCGAGAGGGGGCCGAGACGGGCCGAGAGGAGCGTGGAGCCGATGTGGCAGCGAGAGGTGGCTCGCCCCGAAGAGGTGGCTCGCCCCGAAGGCGGACTCTGTGCTGGCTCGATGCCCCTGCACACACTGCACGACGCTGTGTCCAGCACACTCTCAGCGCGGTGCCTTTTTCTGCTGCAGGAGGCGGAGGGACCATCTCGAGGGCGCTGTGCGTGGAGGCTCTACCGCACCGCGACACAGCCCCTCGCCGCAGCACCCGCGACACAGCACCCGCGACACAGCACCGCGCCCACAGGAGCACACACGCAGCAAAGGCCTCTCGCCCCCGCCCTCTCCCCGCGGAGTCGTCGGGGCGGAGATCCTCGTCCCCTCTCGCACCCCCCCTCCCTCCCCCCACCCCCCTCCCTCCCCCCCACCCCCCTCCCGGCCCGGTGCCCCCCGCAGGACCTCTCGATCTACTGCGTCTCGGCGGCCTCCGCCGGCATCTACTCCGCCAGCGGGTCCGAGAGGTCGACCTCACCGGCTGCCGGGCAGGACGCGGGGGGCTCGCTCAGCGCGATGGCGTGCCTCGCGCACTTCGGAGGCGGAGGCACGAGGGGAGGCGCGCAAGCGGCGGCGGCGGCGGAGGAGGAGGGCGGTGCGGAGGGCGAGGCGGAGGCGGCGAGCGACCCGTCGTGGCTGCTCTGCCCGCTCTCCTTCGACCTGCGGCTCGTCTCGCAGACGAGCGAGGCACAGCTCGCCCTCCCCCTCCCCTCCCCCTCCCCTCCCCCTCCCCTCGGCCACACACCTCCCCCCTCCCCTCCCCTCGGCCACACACCACTCCTCTGCCCTGCAAGGCCGTCGACCTCTCGCGGCCTCGCACCGCGATCACGCTGCACTCGACGCTGCAGAGCGCGCGGCGGAGGGGCGCAAAGGGCGCCGCCGCCGCCGACCGAGTCAAGGACGGCACGCCGGTCCGGGTCCGGCTGCAGGTCTCTGCGTGGCAGGCGGACGCAACCTTCGAGGGGAGCGACAGGCTTCGCTGGACGCGTCCACGACTCGTCCACGATCCGTTCCCCTCAGGTGGCCGCCCTCGAGGAGGTGGACAAGTCGCTCGTCCTCTACGTGCGGCGGCAGCGCGCGCGCCTCAACGGGCGGCCTGACGTGCCTGTGCGGGCGGCGCCGCGAGAGTGGTGGAGGTGCCTCCTCGCAGACACTGTGCCTCCTCGCAGACACTGTGCCTCCTCCCAGACGCTGGAGACACACCACGCCGCCGCAGACCAGGCGGGGCTGCGTCCTGTCGCACTGCGTCCTGTCGCACTGCATCCTGTCGCACTGCACACACCAGGTACGCGCTGCGCTGCATCTTCGCGTCGCGCGAGGCGCTCGAGGTGTGCACTGAGCTGTCGGGCCACTCGTGGAACGCCCTGTGGCGCGTGCTCGCCATCCGGCAGAGGTACTTGCACCTGCACCGGCGCGGGAGGTACAACTTGCCGCAGCTGCCGCCGCTCTCGCTGCCGCAGCGCGAGGAGCCGCGCTCGCGACGCAGGAGGGGCACCCGTGAAAGGGCGCGTCCTTGACGCGTCGGCGAGTGTGCCGCGCAGGAGCTGCTCACGATGGAGGAGCTGCTCGAGCTCGACACGATCCTCCTCTTCCGCCGCTTCGTCCACTGGCAGATGGTGCAGCTGCACGGCGAGCCGGCGGCGCACGAGGCGCCGCCCTCTCGAGGAGAGGCCCGAGGCCCGGAGCTGCCGCGAGATGAGGGGCGGGGACTCACCGTAGGCGTACCTCGGCGGCGGGCTCGACCAGGTGACGCCGCCCGCAGGACACATCAGTAAGGGCGGAAGGAGGAGAATGACACAACGAGCTGTCCACTACCCAGGAGCTGCTCCGCGTGGACGAGTCGGCCCTGTCCGAGCCAGGCAAGGACTCGCTGTACCAGTTCTCGCTCGCCGACCTGCAGTCGCTCACGCAGGTGGCGACCAAGGTGCTCCGCCCGCCCCGCTGCCCCCCCCCCCCCCTTCTGCTTGGCTCGCCCGCACCGCCGCAAGAACACCGAGCCCGGCCGCCTCCTCGAGGGCCGCGCCCCAACGACGGCGCCATGGACGTGCCTCAGGTCCTCTCCACCACCGACTCGCTCGGCCGCGCCGCCAGCTCGCGCTTCCGCCGCTTGCTTCCCGGCAAGCCGGCCCGCTCCCCCGGCAAGGGCCCCCCTCCCGAGCCGACCATCGCAAAGCCAAAGTCGCCGGGCAACGGGCGCAGCCGCCGCCCCGCGCGCGTCTCCGCCGCATCGAGGCGCGGCAGCGACGGCAGCGAGGGCTGCGAGGGCGGCGAGGCCTCCCTCTCCGCGACGCTCTCCCCGTCGGCGTCGCTGCCGGGCAGCCCGGCCCGCGGCGGCGGCGAGTGGGGCGAGGGCGGGGGGCAGTGTGGTGGCGCGGCAGGGCCCGCTGCTCCTGGGGTAGCCCAGGTGGCACGCGGCGGCGAGCCGGGCGGCGGGGCGTCGGGCGGTGCCCCCACCTCCTCTGTCTCCTTTTGCTTCGACGTGCGCCATGGCGACACGTCGCCGCCGCAGCTGCCGCCGCAGCTGCACGTGCCAAGCGGGGAGGAGCTCTCCCCGCCGACGCCGCTGTCGGAGGCGCTCTCCACACCCCTCACCACGCCCCTCTCGACCAGCTCTAACGCCGCGGCGACGCCCTTCGGCAAGCGCGAGGACCGCTTCCTCCTCCGCCACCGCGGGGAGCGCTCCCCGAGCTCGGCGCTGCAGCCGTCGCGCGAGCGGCGCGTGCGGCGCAAGCGGTCGCACCTCTTCGCCAAGCTGTCCGAGGTGCCGCACCGGCGGCGAGCAGACGGGGAGTGATGTGTCGTACTCACCATGTCACGTCTTGCAACAGGTGCTGCACCAGAGCGAGCACACGCGCGGCCCGGACGGCTCGCGCGCCCGAGATGCGGAATACGGACCTCGGCCAAACTCCCACCAGCAGAGGAGGACCCCCAACTCTAGCCCTCACGCGACTCCAACCCGCAGGCTCGCCCCTCCTCCACCTGCCCGCGTGGCTCGTCTCCCCCGATTCGCTCAGCTCGCGCCGCCGCTCCACCTTCGCCCTCGGCACCGCCCGAGAGTCGCTCAGCCCGCTCGACGGCAGCGCCTCTGCGCGCCGCTCGCTGCTCGCGCGCGCCGCCTCGTCCTTCATCGAGCTGCCGGCCAACCTGGCGGCCAACCTGGTGGAGCGCTCCTCGTCGCAGCCGCCCCACACGCCCCACAAGCGGGCGGGGCGCGGCGCGGGCGCGGCGCAGCGGGAGGGTAGCCCGTCTGCGGACTGGCAGCTGCTGGCCGTGCAGGGGCTGCTGTACGAGACGTGGCGCGACAAGCAGCCGGAGGAGGTGGAGGCGCTCGAGCAGCTGACGGCGAGCGCCGTGCGCGACGCCAACTCGACCCTCCCGCCCGACCACCCCAACCTGGCCTTCGACTTCGACGCGCCGATCTACGGGGAGCTGCGCGTCTTCGCCACGGGGCGGCAGCGGCTCTTCCTCGCGACGGAGCAGTACGTCCTCTCCTTCCGCCGCGCGCACGACCGCACAAAGTCGCTCCGTCTCCTCGCGGGCCCCGTCTCGGTCGCGGCGCTGCAGATGCGGGTCTGCAACCAGGCCGCACTCGCACTCGCGGCAGAGTCCGCCATCGGACGGCTGCGCGAGGCCGCGGCGGGCGAGGCGGCGGCGCGGCCGCCGCTGCCGCACCAGACGGCCGCCTCCCAGCTGCTCGACGACCGGCACGCGGCCTTCATGCTCTGCTACACCAAGGCGCCCGACACGCGGCTGCGCAAGTCGCCGCCGCAGATCGCGCTCCGCATCGCGCCCGACGTGGCGATGGAGGCGCACCTGCCGCTCGGCTTCGTGCTCGCCGTGCCGCGCGTCCAGATCGCCCCGCCCGCGCCCATCATGCCGCGGCTCGACGTGTCTGCGGCGGCGCTGCGGCCGGTCGTGTCCCCCAACGAGGCGGACCTCGCTAGGAGCCTTCTAGGAGCCCTCTGGGAGCCCTCTCATAGGTCATGTCCCGCGACGAGGCGGGCGTGCCGTTCACGCCGCGCGCGAAGCAGCGGCGGCTGACGAACCTCTCGTTCCCGGCGCCGCACCGATCGCGGCACCACAAGCGGAGCGCGACCGTGGGGGCGTCAGCGGCGGCGGGCCCGCTCGAGCAGCTGCGGCGGGAGAGGTCGGGGAGGCTCTCCATGACCGACGCGGCGCCGAGCAGGGAGTCGCTGCCTGATGCGTGGTACTTGGAGGCGGCCGGCGGGGCGAGGGAGGAGGCCGAGTCTTCGGCCGAGCCTGCTGCCGAGCTCGAGCAAGAGGGAGGGGCGACCCCTTCCGATCGGCCGGGCCGACCGCTGGCTTCGGCAGAGCCGGCCGACGGGGCGGCGCCGGCGGCAGCGGCGGCGAGCGGCATGGCGCCGTTGCCGCCGGCTCCGGTCGCCGAGCGTGTGGTCCTCAAGTGGGGAGGCGCCATCGCCGCCGCGCTGGGGAGAGGCCACCACCACCGGCATGGCGGCGGCGCCCCCCCCGCGCGGAGCTGGTCCGGCCCGTGCGACGGTCAGCGACGGACTCCGAGGCGGGGTGTCCTTCAGGCGTGCCTCTCCGCGTAGGTTCGGGCTGCTCGACGAGCGGCGGCTGGCGGACGTGGCGCTGCGCGACGACCGGCACGTGCGGGGAGCGGTGGACGGACCCCTCGCGTTGGGCCAGGTCAAGCTAGCCCAGGATACAAGCGAGATACAACCGAGATACAACCGAGCTCACCCAAGCTCACCCGAGCTCACCCGAGCTCACCCTGAGAGGGCTGGATGTGAATCGCTTCATGCGAGACGCACCCGAGAACGCAGGATCTCCCCGTCGTCCGAGCCGGGCTCACCCTGAGATCGCACCCCGCAGGTCGGCCAACTCGTAGTGCCCGAGACAGCCATCGTCGCCTCGGCGGTGCTGCCGGGCTCGCTCGGCCTGTTTTGCCACGCGCCGCCCGCCGCGCCCGGCGCGCCTCCCTTTGTCTATGTGCCCGTCCTCGGCGCGACTCGGCTGCCCAACATGCTCGGCTACGCTCAGGCCGAGCCCGGCGCCTCACGCAGCGGCGGGCGAGACTGCACGGTTTCCCTCACACTCGTCCCTCCGCGAGCAGGTTGAGTACGACGCGGGCGTTGTCCAGGCCTTTGGAGCGGGCGAGAAGGCGGGCGTCGCGGGCGCGCCGCGAGCGCCGCCGGTGCTAACCGGCATTCTGCGCTCCACCGACGTGGTCGCCAAGAACGCGTACGCGCGCCGGCTGCTGCGCGACTTCGAGCGCCGCCGCTTCGAGGCTGGCGCGGCGAGGCTGCTCCCCCTCCCCGCCGGAAGCGGAGGCGCCGAGGCGGAGGCGGCGCCCGCTGCTGCGGAGGCGACGGCCGGGTGGTGGGCCGCGGGGAGCAGCTGGGTGCGCATTCCTCGCAGAGACGACGGCGCGGCGTGGCACTCCGTCTCAGCTTGCGCGGCGTGGGGTAGGTGTCGACCCTCGCGGAGACGTGGCGCGACGCGGCGGCCAAGTGCGTCCCGCCGCCGCCGCCAAAGCCGCCCGACCTGCAGCCGCTGCTGCCGCCAGGGGCGCTCGGCTCGGAGAGCTTCGGCTGCGCCGCCGACTCGGGCGAGGCGGCGGTGGCGGACAGTCCCGACGGCGCGGGCGCGGGCGGCCCCATGCCTCCGAGCAGAGGGCCGGAGATGGTCGTCGGGAGGTCGACCTCGGGCGGCATCGTGGTGGTGGGCGCCGAGGGGCGCCACCACGGGCCCTCTCCCTCCTCCTCTCCTCCAACCTCCCGCATTGGGCGTGCCGACGCCGCCGTCCCCGCTACGGCTGGCGAGCCTCGCTCCGCCGCCGCCGCCGCCGCCGCGCCGAGGCTTGGCGACACACCTCCGACGCCTCCGACGCTGGCGGGGATCGCTGAGACGCCTACGCCCGAGGTTGCGGCAGGGGAGGGCGGCGGCCGGGCGGGTCCGGACGGAGGCCCGGGGCAGGCGACGGTGCACGGGCGCAAGCAGGCGCCATCTTCAAAGGCGTCGAAGCAGCCGGCCCCTCCGCTCGACCCGCAGCTGCTAGAGCTCAGCGGGCAGCTCGGGGGGCTCTCGGCCGGCGCGGACGTCGCCGGCATGGCGAGCGAGGAACGGGCCCTCCTCGCTGCAGCTGCGAGCGTGTCTCCTCACGCGCGCTTGGCTGTGAACAGGTTGCGCTCGAAGGACTCTCCTCCCTGCCCACCCTGCTGCGGCTCGCGGGCCTGCCTCCCGAGCCCGAGACACCAGAGCAGCCGGCTCCGGCAGCAAAGGGCCGCTTGCGCGCACGCTGGAACTTCTTCCGCGGTCCGAAAAAGGCACGCGGCGCAGAGGAGACGGAGCCCCGGAGGACCAACAGCTTACCCTGACACGTGGGTTTGTTGCCGTGCAGCTGTGAGTCCGCTCCGGGCCTCAACTGTTTTATCCCCGCATCTCGCGCGCGCGGGCATCGCTGAACATCGTGCCCCCCGCTGAGATATATCGTTGCGGCTTGCGTGTTGCGAGCCACAGCGCCCCAACCACTATTTCAACCGTGCAAAATAATCACTACGGCCTGTTCGATACTTCCCTTGTACAAGCAGCGAGAGACGGTAGAGCCGTGTACTCCACTCTCTCATTCTCATGTTGATCTCGTCGCACCCCACCCCAGTCCCCAGCAGCAGCACCAGACAGACTGCACCCCACCGCAGGGGTCGTGGAGGCACGCACGGTCTCCTCTCACAGGACATGCAACTCAGGTACCCCGACTTCCCTCTTGCCGCCAGTCTCTCTGCAGCCCGCCCCTTTGCGAGCAGCAGAGACAATGGCGTTGAACGCCCTGCGCTCACCCTCTCAGACTCACAATACGTGGAGGCCACGACCGCAGGTCTGCCCCACAGCGCCCCTCATGTCCGAGGCCAGAGGCACAGACGCATTCCATGCACAGAAGTATGTTCACAGGTGCGTGCTGATGGCAGCACCCGCCCATGCCCCCCCCCCCTCCCCTCGCCGCTCAGCCGACGTAGTCCTCGTCCTCCGAGTCGTCCACAGACTCCTCGTCCGACTCGCGAGCCGCGCCGCCCTTCCTCTTCTTGCGGCCGCCCTTCTTCTTCTTCTTCTTCGAGCCGCCGCGGCCGGAGCCGCCGCCGCCGGAGCCCGAGCCGCGGCCGCGCTTGGCGCCGCCCGACTTCGGCCGCGGCGTGGGCGGGGCGGTGCCGTTGCTCGCGGCGAGCAGGTTGAAGTCGAGCTCCTCGTCGTCCGCCTGCAGCAGCTCGCGCAGCCAGAGGTACCGCGCGACGGTCAGCTCCGCCCCCTCAAGCTCGGGGCCGGGACCGCTGACCGCCGACGTCCGCCGGCCCGCCTTCCCGCCCTTGGAGGAGGTCGCCGCGCCGGCGCGGTACCGCGGGGGCAGCCGGCGCAGCGCACC